TCAATCATAAAAGAGACAAATATAATGATGTGTAAATTAAAAAAAAAGAGAAACAGAGGACATTTGCATAATGAACCGAACAAAAAGCGTTTTTTTTTTTTGTAAATGAACAAATAAAGCGGGAAAGAAAAACCGAACTGTCACCATGGTGGAATGTTTCGATACATATTAAATAAATTTATTTGTTTAAGCATTTTTAAGTTCAGAACCAATTTTATAAGCTGTAATTTTTGTCCAATCAATTTTAGCTTTTGTTATTGGTAATTGACGACGTAATGCTTTAAATGTTGAATCAGACATTACTTGATAATTTTCATTAACAGCTTGCTAAATAAGAACAAAAAAAATTAATAATTCGTTATTCTTCTTTTTTTGTCTGTTTTTATTTACTTGATAATTATCTTCAGCTTGACGAATAATTCGAATAATTTCTTTCGCAGTCGTTGTTTCATCCTATAAAAAAGTTTTCTTGTTTTTCAAATCTTTATTATGTTAAAATATAAATTTTACTTGAAATTGAACTTTTTCTGTTATATCTTTACTACTGACTAGTTGTACATTGCCATCTTCAAAATAATGCACCTAAATTGAAAATTACAAATATGGATTATGGTACCCTGAAAATTGATTTCGAACTAAAAAATATTCAAATCTTATGAAATTTTCAGCTCAATACCATGATGTTTCTGTGAGATATTCATCGGACAAGAGTTAAAAATAAGTAATTTGGCCACCCGAAATTCTTTGTAGGTCTTCATACTATGTATTTTATCCTTCTTTTGTTTGAACGAGCATGTTCGGTTGTAGGCTCTAACAGAGCCATTTTTTTAAAAATTCTTAATTTTTTATTACAGGAAAAGGATGACAAGTCCAGTACCGCAAGAATTTCAACAAAATTTGGTCCTTTTTTGTGGTACTAGACTTGTTACCCTTTTCCTCGAACAAAAAAACTAAGAATTTCAAAAAAAAGGACTTTGTCAGGTTCTACAACCTAGCAACCTATTTTCGACCCTTATTCAATGAATATCTCAAGAAAACATCATAGTATTGAGCTAAATATTTCACTATAGTCCTAACATATCTTGAAAGTTTTTATGTGATTTAAATATTCTCGATCCAAAATCAATTTTAAGGTGGGATCTTAAATATTTTTTTTTAGTTTTACTTGTGCTTTAATCAAGCCAGTTAATTCACATTCGGTTTGTCCTTTACTAAATGCCAATGACCATTTCGAACGCCATCGTCCATTCCTATAAAATAAAACTTAATTCATTATTGAAAAAAAAAATATTTGATTATTTATACCAAAAATTTTTCGGTTCAAATTTATGACTTTCAATAAAAGCCGCTAATGTAATTGTATCTGCATCACTTCCACCTATAACTGTACAAGCACCATATGGGTAACGTTCTTTAATATATTCTGTAAGTTCTTTTTCAAATGCTAAACGCCATGATTCCGAGTGATCATCAGGTGGATGTGGTTGATATTCCGATGCTTCACGACG